GATTTAGAGTTTGGTGTGGTTTCTGATTGCTTGTTATGCTTGAATGAGATTTAGAGTTTGGTGTGGTTTCTGATTGCTTGAATTTCCAGATCTAGTTGATGTTGATTGAAGGAATGTGGTGTTTTTTCCATTTTTCTTTGCAGATCTGATATACATTTGTAGAGGAATTGATTTTTTGAATCAGATTTATTGAGTTCTATTAGGGAGGAGGTTTGGGGAAGAAGTAGATGGTGATTGGAGTGGTAATAGATGATCGGAGCAATGAGGGATGACCGGAGGGATGACCGGAGAGATGACCGGAGTAATGCGGGATGATCGGAGTAATGAAGGATGACGTGGATTAGTTATTTTCCACGTAATTAAAGATTTCAAACAAGAATTGATTTTGTGGCAACTTAACGTGCCATTTGTCATTTCCGTCGACGGAAGGACGAAATTGGTCCCAAAAATTGAAGTTCAAGGATTTTTTTAGTACTTTTTGAAGTTCGAGGGTAGTTTTAGTTCAAAAATGAAAGTTGAGGGACTGAATCGGGGATATAACCATGTTATTAATGACCCTGCTAGTGGGGATTAAACGCTAGCACATGTCGACATGTTATTGATAGAACCGGTTCGTTCAACCTTGCTAGTGGGGTTTATACACCAGCAAATAGTGTGCCTGCCAATGGGAGGTTTATAACACTGGCCGTGACCTATAGAGGATACGTTTATTTCGTTCCCGCACTATATCCATTTTTCGTGATTACACTTGTTGGCATGCTATAAGTTTAATAAGGGGCACTCCGTATTTTGCTTACTGAGTTTATCTTATAGTTTTTCTTTATCCACCATTTCAGGAAGCGAAACCGAGAATAGGGAAACCACGGGAAGTGACGAGTTAGAAAGCTAGCCATTTCGAGATTTGATATAGATTTTAAAAATAAATCATGATCGTGTAAACTAGACTTTATTGGAGATTTATGATATTAGAGCAAATTATAAAATTTGATCTTCATATTTTGATGCTATCAGATTGTGAATTGGATAAGTTCTGAGCTTTGTGCATTTGTGGGACTCTCTCACGAGTGCACGGCGTCTGCCACGTCCCCGGATTTGGGTTCTGGGGCATGACACATTTTCAATTAAAGATTTGTAATATCCCCAAATTTGTAGAATATTAAAGTGTGAGTTATGGACTTAATTGTGAGAGAAAATATTATTGGTGAATCTAATCACAAATTTTGTTAAATTTGAGGGACTTAAAAGGGATAAACATTAAGATAAAGGGTGGCTGATTATTTTTCCCTTTTTCTCCAGCCACTTTTCATGTGATTGCTTATCTTCTTCCTCCCGACCCCCCCTTGCATCCCGAAAGCCCCCAAGCTTGCCGACCTCCATGCTTGAAAAAAAATTGGAAAAAAGCTTAAAATTTCTCTTCCTTTCTTGTTCAATCACAAGATTTAGGACCTAGAAATCCCTCTAAAGCCATTAATTTTTCAGATCCGCAACTACTCCCTTCCCCTGTCCACGAGCTGCTCTTGCCGATGGAGTGATTCTCGGTTTTTCTGGTAAGGGAACAACTAGGAAATCATCCCTTTAGCCTTGATTCAAGTTGGGTTCACTCTAATTGCTCTTATTTCCTTTTATTTTGTGCTAATTTCTCTCCAATTTTCGGCAGCCTCTCTCATCACCAGAACCGGCTTTGCTGCTGGGAAAATTCTGGTATGATGGCCACTTCTCTTAGTCCTAAATTACCCACTTAATTGCTACCTTGTTGAGTTTAAATGGTTGAGTTGCTACCCTTGTGCTGTTTGAAAATTATGTTGGAGGATAGGAGAATTTTGATAACTTAAATGGTGCTTTTTTCAGTTTAATTTATGTAGGAAATTACTTGATTTAGGCTGTTGTGATGTTCTAGAGAGAAAATCCTGTGTGTGTGAGTTGTGGTTTGCCAAAGCCATGCTCTCCATGTACTACCCGTGAGAAATGGGAAAATTTTATATGTATTATGCGAATATATAAATGTATAATTGATTTTGTGCTCGATTTCGGATAGAAGAATGAATAAATAAATAAATATGGTATTATGGGGGTTAATTGCCGATTAAATTGGGAAAGGATTAAATATGTTGTTTTATATGGGTATTAATTTTAAAATATTTTGATTAGGTACTTGATTATTCTGCACTCTAGCAATTGGGATTGGTGTTCTGTTACCCGAGCACTTGGCTTGAGTTTCCGATATTACTTGATTCGAGATAAGTAAATTATGATAATGCCTTTCGATTTCAAAGCATGTTTTAAATTATTTTTGAGATGGTGGCAATGTTTAAATTGATTTTATTAGCACCAAGCATGATTAATTTGAAATGAAATTGTTCTCATTTGCATTGAGTTGAGCATGGCCACTTGGAATTCACTGAACTACTCTGATGATTTGAGAATTTTTGTAAATTTTGATTTTCCTGTTAAATCCATGCCCACATGTAAATTTTTTGGTTATTTCTGGAATTTGAGATTGATTATGAATTACGAATTTTTCTGTAAATCCTGTATGGTTTTGTCTCTGATATAGTCATGATTATTGATGCCCGCCAGTGGGAGTTTGCAAACGCTAGCACATGTCGACATGTTTACTAATATAATCGGTTCATTATATAATCCTGCCAATGGGATAACACATTGGTAATTACTGACGCCTACTAATGGGATAATACATTGGTAATTACTGATGCTTGCCAATGGGCGAATACATTGGTAATTACTGACGCCTGCTAGTGGAAGTTTGTTAAACACTGGTTATTACTAACGCCTGCCAGTGGGAGTTGTTAAACACTGGTTATTACTGACGCTTGTCAATGGGAGTTTGTTAAACACCGACCATGACTTATAGATGAGACTACTACTGAATTTTATTTTGCATTAATGGTTTATCATTAAACGCTTTATTATTGATTTACATATGAGACTACTACTGAATTTTCTTCTGCATTAACGGTTTATCATTGAATGTTTTGTTATGTTAAATTGTTTATCATGCATGCTAAAATTTTACTCACGGGCTATCCATATTTTTACTTATTGAGATATTTTATATCACCTAGTTTTCCTTATCCACCATTTCAGGTAATGATACCCGACACATGAGGAGCCAGGGGAGTGACGAGCTAGACGGCTAAGCATTATTTAGACTTAGATCTTTTGGAGTTAGGCCGTTAGTCTCACATGGTTGACCTAAATAACCATTTTTGTGTATAGAGTTTCCTTGGTTATAGCCATAACTATCTTATAAACTGTTGTACATTTTGACTAGTAAATTTTTTGTAATGGAAAGTTAGATTTTACCTGAGTTTTTAGATTTAAATAATCCAAATTGAAAATTTAGAACTCAGCAGGTTTCGAGCCTTGTGCACTTGTGGGACCCGTTTACGAGTGCATGGCATTTGTCGCGCCTCAGATTCGGGTTCTGGGGTGTGACAAGATTTTTTCAAACAAATCATTTAGATTTTTTTGTTAAGAATTGAAAAAACTTTAAGATTTTATTATTAAGAATTGAAAAAATCCTAAACTCATTTACAGTATTCTATTTTTCTTTTCTTTTTGGCCTTCAATGCTTAATATTCTTAAGTATATTTAGTATTCTATGAACTGATATTTTTCATATCTTAAGATGTTCTCCTTTGATTTAATATACATGTAATGGAAAATAATAATGAATATACTATTTTAATATACATTAAATATTTGGATAAAAATGTATGTTACTCCCATTTAATAGGAAATTGTAAGGATAGTTTTAGATATTGTTTTAGTACACATTTATAAATTAATTTTTATTATTGTTGATGTTGTTATTGTTGTTGTTAAATCGCAATTTCAAAATGTGTTAAAAAAATAGAAATAAAGCATATACATGTAATCCAAAATAAATAAATAAATAAAAAGAATCAAATTTTATTTGATTGATTTTAATATTTATAAAAATTGATAAACTAATATAGATATTTCTCAAATTTTTTATATTTCTTATTTATTTATTAAAAGGCTTATTTTGTATTGTCATTATTACATTCTTTTGCGCGACTATATTCACAACAAATACATATATATATACATATTCTATTTTTAAAAAATATATTTTTGATAAAATA